ACAATATGTTGCAAATTTTACTGACTGCGAAATGCAGGAAAATTTGTCTCTCATGTAATTCAATCATTTTACAGTAGTTTTGGGAGTCATTTGAAAGTAGCCTTGCAAATATTTTAAAGTATGTTTACGGTATACCCTTTCTTTAGATGTGACGAATAAACATTCCAAATTATGCATTCGTATAGACGAGATAATTCAGTCAATTCCCAAGCTGATGCTCTGTCAAATGATTTATGAATCTAATATATTTTTGTATAACTTCTAAAATAAGGAAGAGTTAATTAATTTAATGCAGTAATGTATATGTTATTTAACCATGTAACCACTTGGCAAACAGGAAGAAGAATTTTTCTGACTCATTGTAGCAGATAAAAATATGATATTGTAATGTTATATTCTTTTATGCTTCATTTTGCCTGTTATTATGTATTTTTGTATATTTTTTGGGAAAATTTTGAACCAAATGAACATAATTATCTATTGGCTACAAATTTTAAACAAATTATGAAAAAAAAATTATGTCTTTAAAATTTGTGAATGACAAAAGTTGACTGATGACACAGGTTTTTCAATTTTGACCATTTTCCCCATCATAATTCATAGCGACAAATCTAAAATGTAATTCACTGGAGAGTGGTTAGAAGCTCTATATCACAGAGAGTGATTTTACTATCTTATAATAATTATATGATTTAACAAGTAGCCTGTCGGCTGAGATAGCTCCGCTGTTAGCAATGCACATTACAATTAAAGAACTGAAGATATCATTAGAAAATGAACAATATATATATAAAAAGCAACGGGACAAATCTGAAAGAAGTCCACACGTAGTACGTATATATGTAATATAAAAGCAATCAGACTTGCGGTTTTCAACAAGAAGTCAAAAATATCACTTTTCACCAAAAATGACAAAATTATTCACCAAAATTCAAGAATTAAAGATATCATTACAAAATGAACAAATCTGAGAGAGGTCTACATGTAGTACCTATATATGTAATATAAAAGAAATTGGACTTGCGGTTTTTAACAAGAACTCGAAAATATTACTTTTTACCAAAAATGACAAAAATATTCACTAAAATTAGAAAATTAAAGATATCATCACAAAATGAACAAATCTGAGAGAGGTCCACATGTAGTACCTATATATGTAATATAAAAGCAACTGGACTTGCGGTTTTTAACAAGAAGTCGAAAATATCACTTTTTACCAAAAATGACAAAAATATTCACCAAAATTAGAGAATTTAAGATAACATCACGAAATGAACAAATCTGAGAAAGGTCTATCCAAGGTACATATACACCAAGTGTCAAAGCATTCAGGCTTGTAGTTTTCAAGAAGAAGTCGAAAAAATAAAACATTGACACGAACGACGACGGACGCCGACGACAGACAATCATTTATATGATAAGCTCCGCTCGACAAAGTCAACAGCAGAGCTAAAAAAAA